CTCTCTCTCTCTCTCTCTCCCGGTTGGCTGTCGAGCACCTCCCCCGAACCGAACACAGCGAGGTCAGCAGCTGGCAAGGCGGGCGGGCAAAGGCGCACCAGGCAAATCTTCAACACACACTTCCGCGAGCGAATGCTGCGTGCCACACCTGCCACCCAATTCCCACGCGTTCTTTCGATCCCAAGCAGGCCCGCAAGCAGGTGCTTGGCTCACTGCCATTTCAACCGGCTCGGCAACCACACTCCCACTGCCCGTTACGCCCGGGGCGTCAGGAACATCGCCGAGTTCACGTGAGCTCCCGGCTGCGGCACTCGAGGCCATGCTCGCCGCGGCGCCACCACCTCAAGCGGTCACAGCGGTGGCCGTCACGACAGGGCTGATTTGCCCCTACCGCCACCTCGCTCCTTCTCACAGCTCGTCTGCGCCGCTCATCAGGTCCTTTGCGAGAACCTGAAGCGGCCTACGAGGACGCGCCCTTGCCGCCGACCAAGCGCCAAAGGGGCGCGAAGGGAAAGAAGGGTCAGAAAGGGGACCGCGCCAAGGGCGGCCAGAAGTGCCAGCCGGGGCCAGCCAAAGGCTCGATTGGCGCCCATGCAACCGCCTGTCCGGCGCCTGACAAACTGTTTATTGGCTCTTTGGCGTGCCCGGCCGGGCGCAGTTCGCTACGACCAAAAAGGGCACCGCACCTTCAGTAGAAGTTTTGGCTAACACGTCGTTAGCGTGAAGTTTGTTCTGGCCATGACGGCTCCCAAGTGAAGATTGAAAGATGATCGGAGAGGCAAGCAAGCAGTGAATTGATTTTGGTTGCAAGAACGGAGCAGCTACAGCTTCATGAATGCAGTCGCAAACAGCGAGCAGTCGCGAACCTCCCAGAAGAGGAGGTGGGATGCTGTGGTGAAGCCGATGAATTGAAGCGCTTCAATACGTATGGGGGCTACGAGCACCACACGATGGCCTTCAGGCAGCATTTTGGTATATTTTGGCCAAACCAGGACAGGCGGTGTAAAACTCACTGCACAGTGCTCAGACCTAAAGTTCTCCCACCCACCCATCCAGGAATCATGAAGGCGTGGAACCGACGGAGTAGCTGCAAAATCAGTCAGCGCCGGCAAAGAAATGCGCATTTGCGAACCTACAGTGTGGCTGGCAGGCAGCAAGTCTCTGTTGTGGAGCAAAGCAAATATGGGCTGGAACAGTGGAAGCCTTGATGATCAGCCTCCATTCTACGGTGCATTGCCTGGCGCAAGTTGCGCCAGTAGTCAAGGAAAATCGAGTCGGCAAAGACTGAGCGTGATGCTCAGCGGCTTGCCGGGAGCTCAAGAGCAACCAGACTTGCTGACAAATCACACATGCCTGAACCGTACCTTGCAGGCATGTCGACGTGTTCAGCAACAGCAGAGGGCCTGCCATTCTGAGTGCTGCACCTAGCTTCGGCCGAGCAAACGAATCGGAACGGTGGGAGGGTGGTGCAGCTTAAATGTAGCATCCAGGATGGGAAGTTTGGAGACAGAGCGGCAGCAGAGCTGCCGAAATTTGCGTCAAATCCTGGAGTCCAAGAGCAATCCCAAGCTTTCGAGCCTTTTGCAAAAGAAACTGGATTGCGAAGAGTCAGCATGCCAGGCTGCTGCTGTCCCAGGCCTGTATTCATGTGATCGACGATTTCTATGAGCGAGTTTCTCTCCTGCGACAGGTCAGCGAGGCGGAGCAGAAGAAAAAAACTGTCGAGCAGAAGCTTGGAAGGCCATGTAACCCCTTCTGATCGCTTACGGCGGGGTGCTCTGGCAGACACTGTTAGTACTGTCTGTCTATATTTGTCTATGGTGTTTCGCCAACATTGAGTTTTGCTTCGCTGTTTCGCGGCGCAGGGAACAGGCCGCCCAGGCTGCTCTTCAAGGCCGGTGTGCTCGCCTGTGTTGTATTGGCATCTCCTTTCATGGTCCTAGGCCGCAGAGCCGCGCTGCAACGGGAGATCAAGAGACTAGAGCAACAAGATGCGAATGCACTTGAGGCTCCATTGGCTCCTGAGACCCAGATCTCCAAGCACTTTTTTCTTGAGGCAAGTAAGCAGCTGAATGCAGAAGTCATCAAGCTCGAGGAGGCCAAGAAGGCCACCCGGAAAAGCTGTGGAGCCATTCCTTCTAGGTTCCGTCGGCATCAGCAATTGTCGGCAGGCATTGCACAGAAGACTTCAAGCCGCTTCTACTGAGATGGCAGCAAAGCGACACAACCTCCTGCATCGGACTCAAACTGGCCGGGCTCTTCCCTCATGGCTGAATTTGCTTTGATGGTTCACATCAAAGGAGCGAGAGTCAGCAGCTGAGTCCGCTGAGTGCGGGCTCGGAGCGTGTGTTTTCCTTCACTCCCTCATCAAGGCAGGATCGGATTTCGAGTGCCCCAGACGATAGACACCGACAGGGCTAAGGGAGGACACCGGAGAATCAACATAACTGGAAGGGCCTTGCAAGCCCGCAGGAAAGCCGCGACATCGTGAGAGCCCTTGCAAGGGAGCTATGTTTAAATATGTCCTATGTGAATATAGGACTAAACTCCATACCCCTTGGACCCGTGGCCCTGTGGCCAATTCGCGACATTCCTCCAAAGCCTCAACGCCGTCACAGCGAGATGTTCAATCCTCAGTAGGACCAGGGAACACTGAAGGCTTTCAAGCCCGATGCCGACGAGACCTTTGTCCTGGAGCCTTTCGTGCCTACTCCCGAATTCGGGGCCCAAAAGGCTTTCAGTCCCCTCCCTCTTGCAAGAAGAAACTCCAGGGCTTTCCTCGGAGAGCGAGTTGCCAGAGCAGCGACCGGCAGGTCTTCGTTGCACCCACAAGCTGTGGCTGTTGGCCCATGCTTCGCGAAGCTGTTCTAAAAGCGTCATGTCAACAATTATTCAAGACATCGGTCAAAAGTACCGCATGCCAGCTTAGTGAATCATGGTGACTCTCGAACTGAAGGGTTGAGACTTAGTGGGAAGCTTTGTAGGAAAGCCTTTCAAGATGGAGGCGTTCTTGTCGCTGGTCACGAGCACACCCCAAACAAGTCCATCTCCGCAGGCCTCCAGTGCGAGGGAGGCCCTGATGGGGGCACCAGAAGTTCCGTCGTGGACAGCCAGGACAGCCAGGAGTGAAACCTCCATGGCATGGGGCCCATGGGGCCCATGTGGCCTGGCCTTTCTGGGCTTCGGATGCTGGGCCCGGAGGAAGGCCCGGGCCCGGAGAATCCCAAGAGTTCTTCGACAAGCTGACAAAGTCATCAGAGGTGGATCCTACACATTAGCTGACTTGGCACGAAAGGTCAAGGCAACACCCGTGAAGCCAGACGGGACAGAGCTTTCTGCCGGGGAGGTACGACACATGGAAGTGCGACAGAAGCAGATCGCTGCTTTGAATAATTTCATGCTGCAGAAGCATCGGAAGAGTAGGAAAAAAGGCATAGCCCCACAGATTCTTTACACAGACGAGCCAGACAATCCCTGGAGGGATCGGTACCTCCTGTGCGAAGACTGTGAAAAGCGTGTGAACCTCGGCAAAGAGCCGCGATCAAACTGCAATAACTCAACCTTGCTAGAGCTGGACATGACCGCGCCTTTTTCACGTGACAATGTGATGGTTACTAGCTGCGATCTTGTGCAAATGATCCGTGACGATGTTTGGGTCTACAAAGACAAGTATGGTAAGCTTACAAGGTCGGACAAGAAGAATGCAACGGGCACCTTTCCGGTGCAGGTATGCTGCGTGTGCCGGAAGACGACTTTGGAAGAAGGGAGGCGCTTCAGGATGTGCAATGTCTGCAGAGGAGTCTCGTATTGCTGCGAAAGATGCCGGGCAGCGCACAATCTCAAGCACCAGGCCACATGTGTTCGACCATATTTGCCGTACCGTGGTGAGTGGGGCATACGCAAGGAGCTCAGAAACATGCGCTCAGAGATCTATCCACTGATCAATACCTGGGCCCTCAAGGAACCAAACCAGCACCGGATAGCCTGGCTACCACCTCCAGAGCACCAGCAGAAGTCTCTGGATGAAAGGCGGCCGAAGAAGAAGGTGAGCCTTCCGACCGGATCCAGAAATCGAAAACTACTTGCGGCAGAGGGCATTGCGAGAAGTTGTGTTCAGGACGGCAAGATCGTGTTACGAGGAAGGTCACCTTTGGCATACCGGCGGCAGCGCACCTTTGCGAAGCAAGAGGTGCCCGGTCAGGAATTCTTGGACATGATCGGGATGACAGGGGAGGAGTATGTGCAGAAAGACTTGGAGCTGCAGAAAGAGGTGCAAGAGGAGGACGATGCATCCTTGTCGATTGTCGATGAGGTGGTCGAGGAACCTGCTGAAAACTTGACGCTCAAGAATGGGACGTTCGGTGGCAAGAAGGTGAGACCGAGAACAACCCTTCGAGGAGATCACATCCCAATCCCGGTCAGAGAAGTCCCCAAGGTGGTGTTGGATGAGGGTGCCATCGCCCGCATGGAAGCGGCTGTGGAGAGTGGAGAGATTGTCAACATTGACGAGAAGCAGTTTGCCCCAAGTAAGCCTGTTTGGGAGATGCCGCGACAGGGTCAAGCAAGAAAGTTCTGGATTCCAGTGCCAGAAGACAAAAAGAAGGAGGGCGTGGTATATCCAGAGTCTCCAGTTCGCGAGCTTGCCAAGAAGCATGGGTTGAGGCTCTCAGAAGATGCCCTCAAGCGCTTGGAGGCCGCCGCAGAGGGAGCCGAGCATAATCGACACCGTATTAGCTGGCAGAAGCCACTGATAGTTGATGATGCACAAGAGCAGCTGACTTAAATTGGCAGATCCTGCCTTTTCCTGCCTCGCGTTTTGGAAAATACGCCGGATGCATTTGCTTTCTTGCCGCAGTGCCGAGTCGCTGCATGAGCCACTCTTGTTGCAGGGATGATGCACTCCTGACGGGCAGCATGGAAGCTTCTCGTAGCCCTGTCTGTGAAGCAGGCCAGCGCTGCGAAGTCACTGCGCATACTCCTCGCTTTTGGAAGCTCCTCTCAGGTGCTGCGGATGCTGTGGCCGGCGACACGGAGGGTCGGTGCTCCGTCTCGGGTGCTGGTAGGATGGTCGACAGCCTGGAGGGAAGGACGGAGTCCTTGAAAGAATCCGAAGAGAGAGGGGGCGGAGGTGCAGGAGGTCACGGAGTCGGCTCCCGCGGCTCTCGCGGCTCCGGTGGCTCGGGCTCCGGCTTCCTAAGCGAGTGCGCAGCCGAAGCGGAAGCGGAAGATGCGGAGCTTGGGAACTCGGATGCTTTGGCCGAGCTCGGCCTCGACCTCAGCCTCGAGGCACCTGAGAGCACAAACTGAGCCCTGGGGCCAGCTGTTTTCGGGAGGCTGCGGACCCGGAGGACCTGCTGGGAGCTGGAGAGGACATGGAGCACGCTGAGCATGTGTTGCAAATTCATCTCGAGAAACCTTTCGGTCCCCTGATCTTTTTGTCCTCTCCCCAATCATGAAGATTGCTGTCTAGTTAGGACCTGCGGTGCGGGCCCGGGCTGCACACCCCTGTTGAAGGTGCAGAGACGAGCACGCACCGAGCGCCCAATACAAGCGCATCAAGGTCAAGACATAGCAGCACGAAGCAATTACCATCGTTCCCGTGCCTGTCAGTGTCTGTGACTGGGTGCTCCATTCTCTTCATCATCTGACTCTCAGCACAATCCATGCGCCGTGCTTTGCCACTGCCTGGGTACAGGGTACAGTCGGGCTTGCTGGGGCTTCGACCTACCATGCGGCGGCGTCACCAAATCCCGATGCGCATCATAGCAGTTGGCTGGCTCGGAATTGCGGCATGCGGGAGCGTTGAATACTTGTCATCTTGAGCCAAAAGTGAAACTTCACCGTGCCGACTCAGCTCTAGACAAAGGACTGACGCCGCTATCTCGGCTGCACCGCACCAGCGGCAGAAAGAAGCAGTCAATGGGCTGCGGCTAGCTTCTCGCTCTTAACCCAGCAGTCTTTCTGCTAATGGTCCCAGTGCGACGACCATAGTTTGCGCTCTGCGATTCATGTCACTTTCTGCTTCTGTCGTCCACATTCTACTCTGGTGCTGTTCAGATATCTTTTCTTTCCCTTGTGCATCCCGTAGAGCTCTAAATGCTGTGTTTGACTCTGTGAAGTCGGCGCAGCCCACCTCTATGTTACATGTTTGACTCTGTTTCTCCCCCAAATCCAAACCCGCCGTAACCGCATGTTAGTTCAGAAAGCCTTTAGAAACCAGATCGGTCTTCCTGCCAGGGCGTTCTAGCTGGACCGGCATGCTCGCATCTCGGTTGCAGCATTTATGCGCAGTGGTTCTCCGACTTGCTGCAGCTGCGCATGCACTGTTTCAGGCACTGCTTGGAAGTTGCTTTCCCCATCATGCCGTGCCAGATTGAATTTTATCTTGCTCCCAAGTAGAGACTCTTGGCGGATGTTTGTTCCCCACATCCCGACACTGGCGCCAGTGGAATCTGTGGAAACATGCGGCAGCCATGCGTTGGCATCGCTTCGTCGCTCTTAATTTAGAAGTTTTTCCATGCCACAACTTGACTCGCTGAGCGACGTCTTGTGCTGCCTGCAAAGATCAGGTGTGTTTCCAAGTGGCAGGTGTGGCACACAGAGACCGTTTCTCGTGGTACTTATCAGGACATTCGTGTCTGAAGTGGGCCCTGCAGTACCGATGTGATGTTCGTGCGCTTCGCAACGTCGTAACGAAGGGTCGGCTCGACATCTTCAGCCAGATGTGGCTCAAGGGGTGCCAGTAGCCAAGAGTGCTACCTAATCCGAGATTGTATCCTCCATTTGCCACGCTCGAATCACAAGAGGCACTGCGACCAGATGGAGTTCACAGTCCAGCCAAGACATACTGATATAGACTTCACAGGTCTTTTTGAAGGTCGAATTCTGCTGCTCCTTGCAAACAAGTCCAAGTGTTGATGGTGATGTGGATTTTCAGGGCTCGGGTGGGTTACGATGGACTAGCGTGTTGGTGTTGGAGATCCCGCAAGCCTCTGACGTGTTTGATTGGGTAAATCATCTAGATGATCATACATGGACCCCCAAGCTCAGCAAGCCAAACCCAAAAACCCATCAACACAACACGAAACCCTCCGCAATCTCACAGCGAGATTATCGCACTTCGTTCCTGTCCGAGCTCACAACTTGAGCCATTCACAACGATGATGGCTTCGATGTGCGTGTCATCCTTAGCAGGGGCCATGCTACACACCTCGGTAGGGCATGCCATCCTGAGCAGGGGTCATGCGCACACTCCTCAACTTGCCGAAGAGGATCTGCAAAAGTCGCACAAACCCAAGCATGTCCCTGCACCTGGAGATATCACAAGTGGGATGGACTATTCCTTCGTCCCAGCTCCAGGCAACAACAATCAAAGGATGTTGGCTCATACTTCAAGCTTTGACACAGGCAAAATGCATAAAAGCTGTCTCAACTGTTTGAGGCGTGTTTTCGAGAACCTTGGTGACCATGTCCGCTACAAGATGCATAATACGAATGCTCTGAGACAAGGTTTCAGCAACTGCACCAGTCTCCGCTTCACACACTGACCAAGCAGTAGCATGTACAGCTAGACGACTAGAAAGCCAATGGATCACACTGCCAGCGTAACGGATAACTCCACCTGATCGGCTCGGGAGCCCTCAGGTGCGAAGGATGCGTCCGGCAGAGAAGTCATCTCCGCCGGATTCCCATCTGGTCCATACTGTAAGCACTCATCAAGGGTCCCGGAGCGCACATATCGCGACAGTCCGACACAAAACTTGCAAATAGTCGCTGGTCGTCGCTGCATAAAGCCTGCTGCAATCGACACGAATGTCAGGCCTGCTTCTTATCCCAATCCACAACAGCTCCAATCTCCGAACGCGCCTTAGCCAAGTCCTTCGCATGATCATTCACTTCAACATCCGCTGCCAGCTCCAGCTGGGGGAGCGACTGGGATGAATCACAAGCTTGTCGCCTTCAAAGGAAATCTCCACTCCCAAAAAATTCAATGCCTATATTACAATCTTCCTATAATTCCCTTATTTTCCTTCTCTTGTTTTATTTCCATTTCTTTTTCCCTTTTGTTATATTTAATTTACCACAGCGGTAAGGAAGGAACAGAACGCACGCGCTGTGTTAAAATTAAATAGCACAAAAGAGGAAATGAAGCGAAACAAACAGGAAATAATCACGCATTCTTTGTTTTATTTCCATTTGTTTCCCTTCATTTACATCTTTACAATTAGATTATAGTTGTAATTTCTAGAAGCATTTGTAAGGGAAATCTGGATCTTTTGGCATGCTTTCGTTACGTTCACATTTCTCTTATTTCATTTATTACGCTCTTTTCACGCTTCCCTTTTATTCCAAAGAAAAAGTGCTAATTAAATGAAAGAGAAATAGAACGTACCTGGCATGCGATTCCAA